CCAGATATTATGCTGAGAGTTTTACAAGTATATTCTCATTGAATCATAGCCCTAGGAACTGTGGGGACTATTACATTCCTGTACAGTTGAGAAAAATGAGTTTAAGGGATGTTAAATAAGTAACTTGCTGAAGGTCACACACCTACTTGGTTAATTGGAGGTTAACAAAAGACTGCTTAGAACATTCCATAATGAATGCTCAGTAAATAATAATTGCTATTATTACTGAAGTATAGAGGAAATACCATTTATCCCCTACCAGAGCACCCCTCATAGATAATAAATGTTTTCCCTGGGAAAGAGGTATTCCATGTAGAAGAACCAGTAGCAGAGAGTTTGGTGATCTAGTTTAGCTCCTGCAGAGAGTGCTGAGTGGCAAGATGGTAGAAGAGGCTGAGAGATGAAAAAAGCCTTCATAGGAGAGGAGCTCTTGAGCTATCTTGAAAGGATGGATATAACTTATTTTAGTAGACAAGAGTTAGAAACATTTCGGGCAAAGGTACCAGCATTTAAAAAGGCACAGAAGACCAACATACAACTACATATCTATTAGAATAATCAAAGTGTAAAACACTGACAGCACCAAATGCTGATGTTGATATGAAGTAACAGGAATTCTCATTCATTGCTGGTGGGAATACAAAATGGTGTATTACAGTGAAATACAGTTTAGCAGTTTCTTACAGAACCAAGTGTACTTATACTATACAGTCCAGCAGTCATGTTCCTTGATACTTACTCAAAGGAAGTAAAATTTTTATCTGAGGGACCAGCAGTTAGCATAATGGCTATGTTGCTGAACTCCCATGTAGTCGACCGTGGTTCGAGTCCCGGACCCAGTGGCTTAAACCTCATACCAGGTTTTTTGCATGCGTGCTCAAGATCCTGAGAGGAGAATGGAGAAGAAGGGATTTTGGCATGGCCATCTCCCCTGGGGGGTGATTTCTCGCTTTCTATTTCTCTGTCTTTCTGGCGAGCGCATGCACTCTATAGCAAAAAAAAAGGGGGGAAAACACTTTTATCTGCACAAAAATCTGCACATAGAAGTTTATAGCAGTTTTATTCATAATTGCCAACACTTGGAAGCTACCAAGAGGTTCTTCAGAAGATGAATGGATAGGGGACAGCAGGTGGCATGGTGACTAAGGGTCCTAGACTCCCAGTGGCTGACCACAGTTCGAGTCCTGGACTGACAGGTTCCTTTCTCACTTTCTCTCTCTCTCACTCTCATTCTCACTTTGTCCCTCTCTGGTCAAATTAAATTAAATAAATAAAGTTAAATAAAAATTGTTTAGAAAAAAAGGAAGGTGAATGGATAAATAAAGCTATGATACATCCAGACAATGGAATGTTAATTTACTAAAAAGAGATTAGCTATCAAGCCATAAAAAGACATGAAGGAAACAAGTGTTTATTAGCAAGTGAAAGAACCCAATCTGAAGTGCTATATAGTGTATGATTCCCACTCCATGACATTCTAGAAAAGACAAAACTATGAAGGCAGTAAAAAGATTAGTGATTGCTAGGGAAGAGAGGGGAGGGAGGACTGAATAGGCAGAACACAGGATTTTTAGGGCAGCAAAACTACTCTATACGATACCCTAACAGTGGGTGCAATTACTATACATTTGTCCAAACCCATACAATATACAACACAAGAGTGAATCTTACTGTAAACCATGGACTTTGGAAGATGATCTTATGTCAATGTAGATTAAGCAGTTGTAATAAATATACCATTTTGGTGAGGGATGTTGATATGGACGAAGCTATACAAGTGTGGGGCATGGGATATATAGGAAATCTCTGTACCTTCTCAATTTTGCTAAAACCGTTTAAGCTGGGGCTAGCAGGTGGCATGGTGGGTAAGGTGTTGGACTCCCACATGGCCAACTGAGGTTTGATTTCCAAACCTGGTAGTTTGAATATCACGCCAGATGTGCATGCCCAAAATCCCAGGAGGAGAATGGAGGAAAAAGGATTGCATTGTGGCTATCCCCCCAGGAGTAATTTCTCACTTTCTCTGGTGAGTGCACATGCCCTATAAAACCTAAAATAATAATTATAAAAATAATTTTGAACCTAAAACTGCACTAAAAAATAAAGTCTGAGAAAATAATTTTTTAAAAAAGTTACAATGGTATTGTGGTTATCTACTGCTATGTAGAAAATATCTCCAAAATTTAGTGACTTGGGACAATTACCAATTTGCTCTGATGCTCAATTCTGTGAATCAGATATTTGGGCTGGGCTTAGCTAGGTAATTCTTCTCTTAGTCTTACCTGGGGTCACCAGTGTGGCTGCAGTTAACTACTAGTGCCTCTCAGGCTAGATAGTCTAAGATGGTCACATGTCAGGCCTTTTTCTTTTTTTCATTATAGGAGTGTGTGTGCACTTGCCAGAAAGAGAGAGGAAGAAAGCACCTCTTAGTGGGGTACAGTCATGCTGAAATCCTTTCTCCTTCATTTTTGAACCTCGTTGGGACTTTGAGCATACACACACATGCAAGGCTTATTTTTTAAGCTGGCTGAGCTGGCATTCAAACCGTAGTTGGCCATATTAAGATCAACTTCCTTACCCACTACATGGTACACGCTTGCCATGTCTGGCTTTGATGATGGTTGCTAACTGGGCTTCTTCACACTGCAGCAGAAGAATAAAAAAAAAATTTTTTTTTGAGAGGTTTTTGCTATAGGGCGCGTGCGCTCGCCAGACAGAGAGAGACAGAGAGACAGAAAGCAGGAAGTCCCCCCCGGGGGGGGGGGTGGCCACGCTGCAATCCCTTCTCCTCCATTCTCCTCTCGGGATCTTGGGCATGCACGCACACGCGCCCGGCGTGAGTTTAAGCCACCGGGTCCAGGACTCGAGCCGCAGTCGACTACGTGGGAGTCCAGTGACATAGCCATTACACTAACTGCTGGTCCCAAGAATAAAAAATTTTTAAAAAGGCAGTAGAAACTGCAAGGGCTCTTTGCATGGAAGCCACACAGTGTCACTTCCACTACATTCTCTTAGCCAAAACAAGTTACAAGGCCAGCCTGGTGCAGTGAGAGAACTGGACTCATCTTCGTGATGGAAGGACCTGCAAAGAATTTATGGCTTTTTATTTTAAACATCTGCCACAAATAGAAATGATAGGATGAATTTAGAATGTGTTAGCCCTGTCAACCTCCTCTTCAGCCTAAGTAGTATTTCCTCCAAAGTTAAGTATTCAAGGTGCCTTAATTATCATTATTCCCCTGTCCTCAACTCTTTCTCTGTTTCTCCTATGATTACAAACTATAAATTAAAATGAAGACAGAAAGGTTTTATCAGTAACTAACTAATGGAATTTTGAAAATCGATTCAATGGGTCAGGAGGCAGTGCAGTGTTATACAGCTGGCTGGACCCACATGGAGAGGTCCTTGATTTGCATCCTGGGACATCTGTGAATAGGCAGGGTATTCAAGCCCATGATTTGGGCTAGCTGAGATTAGGGGTAGGTCTCAGTTTGAAGACCCTATTGTAATATGCCTGTTTCTTTTCCTTCTTCCCCTCCCCTTTAAAGAAGAAATTAAATTATTAAATTTAAATTTTATTTAAATAAATTAAATTATAAGAGGTTTTTGCCTTAGTGCACGTGCACTTGCTTCAGAGAGAAAAAGAGAGAGAGACTCAGTGAGAAGGAAAGTGAGAAACCATCCCCAGAGGGGTGGGCCTCTCCTGGAGAATCCCTTCTCCTCCTAGAATCTTGGGCACACATGCACTTGCACCTGGCATGATTTTCAAGGCAGCAGGTCTGGGGCTCAAACCATGCTCGGGCTTGTGGGAGTCTAGTGACATAATTGGTATGCCATCTGCTGGTCCCTATAAAATATTTTCTTCTTTTTTTTTTCAGAGGTTTTTGCTATAGGGTACATGCACTCACCAGAGAGACAGACAATGAGAAATCACCCCCAGGGGGATGGCCATGTCACAGTCCCTTCTCTTCCATTCTCTTGGGATTTTGGGCATACATACACATGCGCCTGGCATGAGTTTCAAGCCATGGTCCAGGACTCGAACCACAGTCAGCTATGTAGGAGTCCAGTGACATAACCATTATGCCATTGCTGGTCCCCCTGTAAAACCATTTTTAAAAAGAAAATGTTTTCTTGCTTTTGAATAGTTTTATGAACTTGAGCTTGGTTTACAGTGATATGGAGCACTCAAGTTCTTGACTTTAATAAAAGGTTAGGGTTATTTGTTATTACCACATCATTTATTAATATTTAATTAAATATCTCGCTGTTAAAATTTTTAAAGTGTTAAAATATTTAATGTGCCACTGTTTAAAATCTTGAATATAATATTCTGTATACTTAGATATAAATGGCCTCCTTTAAGAATGATCTGAAAGCCTGAATTAGTCCACTCTGAATTGATGTTTTCACTTCTGTTTAACTAACTTTTATTAGTACTCAGCAGATACAAATGTGATTTCCTCTGAGTTATATTTGTTCATAATCCTCTGTGGCCTGCTATTTAATTCTGCTTTCCATTCTGAAAGAGTTCTTAGCCTTTGTTCATTATCATGAGAAACAGTTGTGCAACATGCCTTGCCATTAAGTTGAACATCTAAAATTAGTCCACCTACAATCAGTAGTTGGGAACAAGGTTTCAGCAGCATGTGGCATATATTAAGTAGATATTACAAGGTTAGAAGGAACTCCCTAGAAATAAGTAAGTGACTTATGTATGTGTCCATGTACTTACATGTATGTATAATTGAAGGTCTGTTTTTATTGAGTGGATGAATAAATTATATCTGTTATTACAAATTCTTCATATCCTATACAAAGCATCTTTGTTTATGCATTATGTTGTTTAATAAGTTCAGAAGAAAAATATATTTACTGAAAACTTCATATGATAAAACATTTTCCTGCATGTTTTGTGACTTTTATTTTTTTTAATTGTAATTATGTTATATATATTCCATTCCAGGTTAATGACCTTTTTTTTTTTTCCCTCTTTTCAGAGTATATAGAAACCTATTCACAAAAATGGCTTCTTGGTTATATGAATGTCTTTTTGAAGCCGAACTTGCCCAGTATTATCCTCATTTTACTGCCCTTGGCCTTCAGAAAATAGATGAATTAGCTAAGGTTACAATGAAGGACTACTCCAAATTAGGAGTCCATGACATGAATGACCGCAAACGTCTCTTCCAACTTATTAAAATCATTAAGATTATGCAAGAAGAAGATAAAGCAGTTAGCAGCCCAGAGCATCCTCTTCAGACAACCAGCATGTACATCAAGCCTCGGGACTTCAGATCTGGCCCTCGTAGACAACTGCATTTTGATTCTCCCACTAACAACAAAGACAGAACTGCCAGCGATGATGGGTTTGAAATATGCAGTTTATCAGATTTATCTACAAATGAAGAGAAGTCACTAAAGATGCTAGAACACATGCTACGAGATGATTCCCAATATAATACAAAATCACAAATTCTGAGCACTGCAGCTGCTAATTCCTATGTACAAACAGAAACTAGCACTTCACTCTTATCATCAAAACACTTTTCTGCAATACTGGGGAACTGTAATATTCCTATTATTCAAAGAGTCTCTCATCTTTCAGGGTATAACTATGGAATCCCTCATTCTTGTATCAGGTAATAATTCTTTACTTATGTTTATGTGTTTTGTTTGTTTTTGGAGGGAAAATAGCCTAAGGAAAGGGTAGGCCTCTCTGTCAGGACCAGAGGAGAGCAACTAGTACTTACTTATAGTAAATGAATATAACATAGAAATGGTATGAACAGCTTTTGCATCATTAATAGAAATACTTAAATGGGGAAAAATTAATGAGGGATTGGGATTTTCCAGATGGGAGAAAGGTGCTTTTGTTCATGTATTGGATCGCCTGAAAAGTCATGATGCATTTTTACATAGAAAAACAGAAAATTACCTAATAGAAATACTTAGATGGGGGGAACCAGCAGTTAGTGTAATGGCTATGTCGCTGGACTCCCACGTAGTCGACCATGGTTTGCGTCCCGGACCCGGTGGCCTAAAACTCACGCTGGGCACGTGTGCATGCATGCCCAAGATCCCAAGAGGAGAATGGAGGAGAAGGGATTGCGGCGTGACCATCCTTCCGGGGGGGTGATTTCTCGCTTTCTGTCTCAATGTCTCTGTCTGTCTGGCGAGTGCACACACCCTATAGCGAAAACCTCTCAAAAAAAAAAAAAAAAGAAATACTTAGATGGGGAAAAATTAACGAGGAATTAGTATTTTACAGATAGGAGAAAGGTGCTTTTGTTCATGGATTGTCTGAAAAGTCATGATGCATTTTTTACATAGAAAACCAGAAAATTATGTCACGACTTTTCTGACAAACTAATACACCAAACAGCTGCTTCTTGCCAGGACCTGCTATTATTTCTATAGCAGATCTATTTCTGTTCTGTATTATAGTGTAACATAAGACATCTAGTGCATCCATGTAAGTAAAATGGCCTTTTACAATAAAAAGAAAAATATTAACACAATCCATAGGATTTTTTAAGCTATCAAATTTACGTAATGCGACAGAGACTTAAAGCTTAATTAAAAACAAATAGCATGTTGTTTGAATTAAGTAGGTCTTTGGGACAGTTCACTAACACACACTGAAATATGATCCTTTCTATAATTCCAGTCCTGGTAAAACAGGTAATGTTTATAAAGAATAAAGCGTTTTTGGTGGAGATTAGAGTTTGAGAATCAAGGTAACAATAAGATAACTTTCTAGTGCTTCAAGTTAGAATTTAAAATAAGGTCCCTAAAAGGTGAACTCTATTAAGTAATCTTTGGGACCAGCAGTTGGTGTAATAGCTATACCTCTGGACTCCCATGTAGTTGACCACAGTTGGAGTCCCAGACCTGGTGGCTTAAACTCACGCTGGGCGCGTACGTGTGCATGCCCAAGATCCTGAGAAGAGAATGGAGGCTAAGGTGTTGCAGCATGGCCATCCCCCCTGGGGGATGATTTCTCACTTTCCGTCTCTGTCTCTCTCTGTCTTTCTGGAGAGCACTCTCTAGCAAAAAACCTCTCAAAAAGAAAAAAAAAGTAATCTTTAATACTGACAATGGTATGATAGGAAATATGTTCTCTTTTTTGTATACACACACACACACACACACACACACACACACATACACACACACACATATATATATAGATATAGGTCTTCAAGAAAGCCATGACTCATTTTTGCCCCCAAAAACAGAAAAATATATCACAACTTTTCCAACAACCTAATATACACTTATAAGAACACAGAAAATTCCTTCCTTAGCTATCTTTTCTTTTTTTTAATTTTTTCAAGAATTTATTTAATTTTGGGAACCAGCAGTTAGCATAATGACTATGTCGCTGGACTCCCACGTAGTCGACCGCAGTTCATGTCCCGGACCCAGTGGCTTAAAACTCACGCTGGGTGCATGTGCGTGCGTGCCCAAGATCCCGAGAGGAGAATGGAGGAGAAGGGATTGCGGATTTCTCGCTTTCTGTCTCTATGTCTCTCTCTATCTGTCTGGCGAGAGTACACGCCCTATAGCGAAAACCTTCCCCCCCCCAAAAAATAATTTATTTAATTTTATTTCTTCTTCTTCTTTTAATTTGACCAGAGAGAGACAGAGATAAAGGAAAAGTGACAAAGCAAGCTGCCAGGTCTAGGACTTGAACCATTGTTGGCCATGTGGGAGTCCAGTGCTTTAACTATCATGCCACCTGCTGGCTTGAGCATATTTTCTTTTAAAAAGTGTTGTTATTCTTTTTTAAAAATTATTTTATTGGGAACCAGCAGTTAGCGTAATGGCTATGTCGCTGGACTCCCACGTAGTCGACCGCGGTTCGCGTCCCGGACCCGGTGGCTTAAAACTCACGCCGGGCGCGTGTGCGTGTGTGCCCATGATCCCGAGAGGAGAATGGAGGAGAAGGGATTGCGGCGTGACCATCCCCCCTGGGGGGTGATTTCTCGCTTTCTGTCTCTA